GATTACAATACGTAAGCAAGACATTGCAAGGATAAAGTCACATTGCATACCTTGAAGTGGGCGATTTAGTCGTCGATGAGCTGATGAGGCCCTGATGCATCACAGAACACTACACTGACCACGATGTCAACAGCCACCGAGGCGAGTTCGACGAACGCCCGAGGAGCGATAGCATGGCGATAGCTGCTGCAACCTCTGTTTGCGCCTGCGCGGCACGGGCGCACGACTCGGAGCAAAAGCAAAACCGCAAAACAACAGAGATGGGTGTTGCAACAACGGCAACAACGCACCAACACCGCCATTCTGCGAGAGAGGAGGGCCGCGAAAGAGCTGCGGGGCTGCGCCGCTGCGCGCTGCGCGGCGGGGCATTCAACTCCTCGCCATCTGCGCATGCTTGCACTCCTGGGATTTCGGCTTTTCTGGAAGGCTCGGCTCTCGCGCCAAATAAATAATGAGGGCATCCTCGTATTTTGAAATGATGAGCGTGCCCGTCTTTTTTGACGAGGGAAAGACACGTCAAATTGACGTAAATTTTTTACAGTGTAGCCAAGGTACAGCTGCTGCAACCACTATCATTCATCCATGGCAGACAGCGTTCTGGCAGTTGTGGTGGCAGGCTGCCATCAAAATAGCGGGGGTGATATTGCGTGCTTGATTGAAATTGTTTGACGAAACATATTCTTAAAACCCGTCGTGAACGGTAGCCCGATCTTTGAGGACCCGGTAAAAGTTTCACGAAACTGCGGCACCGGGGAAAAGCAGCACAGCACGCATCGGACGTAATGAATAATAATAAATAAATAAATAAATAAATAAATAAATGTTTATTTTTCCATCACATTCATGATGGAAGGAGACCGAGGAAAAAAGCTGCGTAAATGCAGCTTGACGAGTCCTCGGCCCCCTCCCTACTATCAGCAGCAGTGGCAGCTCGCAAAGAACACAAAGTAAAAAGAAAAAAAAATACAATCTCAGTTAACAAAAATACAAAAAATACAAGCTCAGTTAACCGAAGTGTCTCAATGACATGCAGAATGCAGCAAGATTAACTCTAACAATTCAATAAAAAGGCACGATTATCACATCAAAAACATACATATTCAGAGATATCAAGTCGCATCGAAAGAAGCATCGAAAGCAGACGCCGGCACGGAGTCTGCTTTCGATGCGAGCTGCGCTGCTTTCCCACGGTGCTACACTTACGTAGAACTTTCGCCGGGTCCTCAAAGATGAGGCTACCTTTCATGCCGGATTTCAAGAATCTGCTTTGTCGAACAATTTCAATCTAACACGAAATATCACCCACAGTACAGTGTACTAGATCTACGGCCATTTTATGGCAGCCTGCCGCCATTGCGCTGTCCGCCATATTACTACAAATGCTAGAGATAAATAAGTCTACAAAAAGATGGCCGACCGTGGCCGCACTCCCGTCCATAGGCGGAGCAGGTAAAACGCGATCCAGCAAATAGACGTAGAGATCAGTGCCTCCGACAAACATGAGTGGTCATCTTGACCACGAGGGGGCCAAGGGCAACTGGCCACGCGAGCGGCGCTCCGCCGCTGAGAAAGGGCCGTCGGAGCGGATGCGCGGGGGCTGTTGGGATCGCGGCGCTGGCGATAGCGCTCATTAAATGTTAACGTGTTGCTGAACCGATGTGCTGTGTCATCCCCCGAGACGGGTAGCAGCGAGGGAAATCCCACAGTCGTGAAAAATAATTATTTGCTGCTTTATATAGATTTGCGTACAATAATACATTACTTTTTGTTTCTTTGGCGTTCTGATTTGCCTGGAAAGGGATATTGTACTTAAGTGACGAACGAACTGGAAGGTCGAAATAAATCTCAACACATTGATTTCTTAAGAAAAGCATTGCGTTCTGCTTATGTTCAGTCTGCTTCATGAATCTTTGATTTAAATACAAACGAAACGCATGTAGAAAACATCAAATAATTGAAGAATGTCGAATAAAAAGTATATTGGGTAATATTCTTGTGGGAAAGGTTTGATTTATATTCCATTAGTAAACAGGTGTGATTTGAAATATATATAAATCATAATTTAAGTCCAGGTTTAAGATATTTTACTTTTTATTCTCCGTCCTGTTCGTAGCAGACAAACGCGGTTCTTCGCCCGCCTTAGCAGACAAACCGTCTGTGAACGATATCTGAGCTCGCTCTTTAAAAAGCAAATTATAGATATCGCTCTCGCTGCGACACCAATTGAAACCCTGGAAAGGCGTTCCGAGTGATTACTGATTACGGCTCAGTCAGCGGCGATAAACGGAAAATCGCTCCGACGGGCAGCACCCTCTTGGGAGCCGCCGCTAATTTTCAGTTTGTGATGTAGGCTGTCTTCAAAGCACGGATGTCTGCGATAAAACTTGGTATGCTAAAACGGACAGCGAGAAATCGGTCACCGGCCGTAATAACTGGACATAATTTACGTAAATTGCGCATTGTATCTGAGCCAACTGTCATTTTAAATTTTGATGCATCACCTCGCTGTACATCAAAGCTAATAAGAAAGTAATACTGACAATTTTTTTTATTCGCAATTGTCAGCGATAGTGGAATCGCGGTGTGAGAATCGTACTTCCTAGGTCTCGAGTGAACGGCTTCTGAATTTAGGTGTTTGTTTACATCTTCCTGACGTGCAAGTAAGGAGTAAGGTTCTAATATCGCTATTATTTTACAAAATTAAAATCAGGCGTCGCAGAACCAACCTGGATGGTAGTCCTGATCTACAACAATCATCGAGATGACAGCCATTTTTGTAGGCACCAGTGCGACGCTTATAGGTCGTGAAAGTTGCTAAAAAATGAACTGAAAAAAGAAAAAGAAAGAGCGAACAATTTCTTTCTGTAACACACTCGATCCCGTTACGAACTAGGGTCACGTAGGTGTTGTGTCAGCGTTCGACTGATAGTAACTGGTGGTCAATCATTCGAAACGCGAGCCTTTGCTGAATGCTGATAGATCAGTCGGGTTCAATACGATATGGTTGTGGGCGGAAAAAATTCAGCACTACCGTATCCAGGGTGGCACTAGACGGACCTTCCGTCGTAAAACATGTCGGTAAAATTGGCGTCTGCTGATATCAAGTTTAAACCTTCACCGAATGTGCGGAGAGCAGGTTAATTTTATCGCGTGAAATTTCAAGGCGTAGTTCTCTTTTTTTTTTTTTTTATAAGAAACGAGAGCAAACACCTCGCCGAAGTCAAGGTTGTGTGCTTTCGCGGACGACCAAGTTAGCGACGCGATTCATTTGCGGCGCCTTCTCCCGATAGTAGCAGCGAGCCAGCGATGCTCTTTGTTGACTGCTAGCTTTGCCCATCGGGAGATGGCGCTACTGGTAAATAGCGTCGCTAAGTCGGTTGTCATGCGAACGCGCCCAACCTTCCTGACTCCAGCCTTTTTTACTTTTTAGAGGAAGAGAGCTGCGCTTTAAAATTTCACGCGAAAAAAATGATCTGTCTGCGCGGTGCACGTACCTTTGGGGAAAGTGTGATCGTCCTATGCGCGATCGCCGATGTTTCCGGCTCATTTTATTGCGGAAGGTCCGTTCGTGGCCACCATCCTCCATCGTACTGCTGGACGAGCTAAAATTTGATGGAACCGATTATGTAGCGACAAAAGTGCTTCGTTACGGAGCTCAATGTATTTGCGCGACTTCTATCAATCACTAAAGAAAGCACGGCGAAGGCGCCGCGATTCGGCGCTTTTTTTGCTACATTAGTTTAGCCGGTGATGGCAAAGCCAAAAAGAGAACAAGTTCTCTGACGATGCACTTCTGCTACTGACTGATCGCCTCTATCGGATATGATAGTTCCGGCTGCGGTCAGCCTTAAAGCGAAACGAAAGTGGAGTTGGTGTACCTGCTCGCGGGTATAGTGCGCAGGAAGCGAGGAAGAAGAGAACTTGCTTCGAAGGAAGCAAGGAGACGCGAAATAGCGGGGGCAAAGAGACGCGAACTTTGCACCCCACTCTCAATCGAGCGCTCACTCTGCGAGATCTTTCAGAGACAGGACGATGTTCCTGCGTTGAGGCGCAAAGTTCGTCCATGCAACTTCACCTTGAAGCGAGGCTGAATAGAGTCAGTTTCACGAAACCTGTTTTCGGTCCCGCCGCATGCGGCCATGCTGCAGAACGGCTTCCGTCATTTTTTTTTCTTCTAGTAGCTCGGACGTAATCGATAAGTTGTTTGCGTCGTTCTAAGTCTGGTTATACGCATAAGCATGGTGATTGGATACGTGGACGACGGAACTCGTACGAACAGCGCGAAAAAAAACTGACATCTCGAAAGGAGTGTAAGAACTCAGCGCTTTGTTTGTATGCTCCTTTTACTAAACCTCCGTTTTCTCGAGATGCTTCTTTTCACCGAAGCTATGCAAAGCCAACTAGCCAAACTACACGCCTTGCATTGTTTTATTCTTATCTCATCTTTTATCGACTTTTTCCCCGACCCGCCAGCGCCCGCCGGGGCCATTTTGACTGCCGACGAGACGACTGCTCAAGCCCCGGCTCATATTAACTTCGAATAAAAACCGATACGTACACAAGTAAAGCACCAGCCACCAGCCGATTAGTCTTTTCGTCGATAACTTCCCCGGCCGGCACAGTCGGTCACAATGCGAGAGCTCGAGCGAGCTGCAGGAAAACAATGCTCCCTCGCGCAGAAACCCCATAGCACAATCATATAAGACGAACGTTTGCGCATGGATTGAGGCGAAATATCGGGAAGTGCGTCATTCGAAACCGCTTAATATATATTCTTTGTTTCCTCTGTCTTTGCAACGATAGTGCGGGAAAAGGGCGACTTCGTTTTTAATTTCATTACCACATGTCTTTCTTCGAGCATTCAGGCGCCTCGCTATGCCAGCTTGCTGTTTGCCGTTTAAAAATACGCTTATTGCTCGACAAATTGAGCGTGATTGATTGACTCGATGCTGCCATCGGGAATTCGTTGTGAGTGTGGTCCTTGATCTGGTTTCCCCCAGACGATCAATATGAAGACTACAAAAACGCGGGAAAACTTCGGTGGCTGGATCCTACCGGAGGAGCAGATGGACAAGCTCCGGAAGACTCCGTACCACTACAACGCCAGTGCAGGGTCCATCCTTGAACTGCTTTTCTTGCAGAGGTCAGTACTGCGCCGGTATGGCATCAGTTTCTACAGGCGCTTGCAAGCTCAGTTTTCTGAACGCAGTCATGTTTATGTAGGTGTTTGTGTTTACAGTTGTGGAAGCGTGCGTGGAAATGTGAGGCAGATGAAAATGCCAGAGAGCCTGACGAGGCCTTTCTTCCTACGAAGCTCATCCTGCGCAAAATAGGCGCCATCAGTGCCCCGAAAACTTTCGTCTGCCAGGTTTGGGGTGTTTCCATTCATGATAGCGTCATATGGCCAAGATGTCTTTTTTTTTCTTTAGAGCGCAGCTCTTAGGCGCCCGTTTCAGGCTGGAGCGGAGTCGCCGTCGCCGTCGGCGTAACCGACAGTGCATTATGGGTAAATTTCCCCGCTAAATCTAGCGGAAAAATTTCCCCGCTAAATCTAGCGGAAAAATTTTCCCGCTAAATTTAGCGGAAGAATTCCCCCGCTAAATTTAGCGGAAAAATTCCCCCGCTAGATTGAGCGGAAAAATTCCCTCGCTAAATTTAGCGGAAAAATTCCCCCGCTAAATCTAGCGAGAAAATTTCCCTGCTAAATCTAGCGGAGAAATTTCCCCGCTAAATTTAGCGGAAAAATTTCCCCGCTAAATCTAGCAGAAAAAATTTCCCCGCTAAATCTAGCTGAAAATTTCCCTGGGGGTCACGTGACCCTCCGAGGTCACGTGACACCCCCGGCTCACGTGACACCCCCGGGTCACGTGACACCCACGTGACCTTGGGGAGGGGGTCATATGACCCCACCAAGGTCACTTGACCGCACCCCAGGTCACGTGACCACCCCCCAGAAGTCACGTGACCCCTTCTTCCGAGAACACGTGAATCTCAGTACCCTTCCCTTCTCCTCCTCAAGAGCTGCGCTCTAATTCGGCGTTACAGGGAGTTGTAAACGGCTTTCATTTTTTGATGGAGAATGCAGGGTTTTAAAAAGCCAGAAAAAGCCGAGGTATAGTCAAACTTGACCTTCCTTGGTCGGAGTCTGGATATATTGGCTTTAATCTGCAAAACAAATGTCAAAATTAAGCCTCACTGCTTGTTCTTCGGCTGTCATCTGGCATTTTTTAGCCTAAATCGCCAAATGGGTGCCAGGGTTAGGCTTCCCTTTGGGTTATTAGGATTTTATGTTGCAACTTTGTCCCAAATTACCGAACAAGGGTCAAATTTAGATTTCACTGCTTTTCGGTTCACACGTGGCGTCTGTGACTGAAGTCTGGCACTTTGGCAATTATACGGCAAGCCAAAGAAAAGCCATAAAATGCCGAAGAAACATACTCTGGCACTAACTAACGCCTCGGAGCAAATCGTATCAGGCCCAAGTTAAAGGGGCCATGAAACGAATTTTGGGATGGGACAAATCATTTTAAATTGGGACTTTACTAATCGTATATCGTTTAGTTGGCCAAAAGAGAGAGGGTAGGAAGTCAAAAGCCAGCTTTTCGGTACGAACATTTGAAAATATAGCAGACTATTTTGTACCTTCTTTCCTTCGAAAGCTTTCCGCCTTTTCACTATGATACATCCGCGGTTCCCAAAGCGCATCAGCGGTGCCAACCTGACGTCGGTCGAGCCCAGCTCACGCATTGGACACGAGAACTGCGTCACTCGGACGTATCCGTTCGTCAACAATAAATTCGTCGACGAATATTCGGATTCGCGTTCGTGGCCAATGAGTACCCTGACGGAACTTATCGTCACTGGGAAATGACAAGTTCTATGGTGTGCATAAAAAGCACGGTGGAAGCTAGGAGTCCACCGTGCTTCGCACCGGTGCCGAAGAATGTCACGACAACGTGATTTCACAATTCGCATTTGAGTTGAGTATTAAAGCTAAGGAGGAAGAAGTAGGAAAATCGTTTCATGACCCCTTTAAGCCACTAGGATTGCCAAGCTTTTACCCACTTAGGCGTTTTGTTTTTGGCATTCTTCCTGGGGGCCAGACCACCTTTTGAAGCGCGGCCGTTTGCTACAGGGCCCGTGCAACTGTGAAACGCTCTACCTCAGATTTGAGCATATCGAAGGTTTTTTAATGACTCATCAAATTTTGTTAGCCGCTCATGACAGAATGGCGTAGTGATGCACAGTACAGCCCGGCGCCCACAGGGCCTATGTTACGAAGGATAAGCATTGTAAGAGGCAAGGCCTCGTCAAGCTTTCTGGCATTCTCTTCTGCCTTACATTTTCACGTGCATCTCCCCCCCAAAAAAAAAATAAAAATAAATAAAAAGTTAGTTTTTGCATTAAAATGGCCGACTGCATTTCAATCTATCCAAAACAGCGCCCTTGTATGTCTTTCTTTGTGTATCACCATCTGTTGTTCTCAACTTTGGTCGTTGTTTCTGCCTATTCGCCTTTTTGCTTGTTAGGAAACGAACTCAGTGGTGCCACCTACTGGTTAGCCGCAGCACACTTCCGGTTCACGTATATTTTCTAATTTTGTTTACACATCATTGTTCAAAATAAGAGTGAATGAAGTCTTACAGTGCCATAAGTGGCCACTTCCAGAAGATAGCGTGTATATCTGACTTAGAAAATACTGCGAAACCAGCTGTCTATTTCAGAACCGGAAGTCGTTGGGGGCTATTTGCACACTGGCGCCACAACGTTTAAACTCACGTGAGAAAAAGGAAATATCACATTTCAAAGTCACCCAGGCTTTCATCGTAAAAAAAACTATTAATCCATTCGACATATGGAAAATTGCTATACATAAGAATTGCTGCTGACATTCCCGTTCACTTTTGGATAACGTTATTAGATCAACTCAGTTACGGAACAGCCCGCAGACGCCGCTTGCACCAGCAGTTTTTTACCTCTTCCCCCAAGGTCCGCCTCCTGTCGATCTACGCGCCTTCGTTTCTTTGGGATACGGCTGATAGGGTAACTAGAGCTACGCAGGTTTTGAAACACAGCGTCTAGATGGCGCTGCACCTTTAGCGTCTCCGAAGAATGCAATTTTGAAATGCATCCTCTAGAAGGCGCTTCTAAAGACGGACGGCTGAAGCCCTGGATGGCTTTGTATTAAGTTTCAAAGTACACCCGTGAGCAGTGTTGTACACGTTCCTCAAAAAAAGGAACGTAAGCTCGTTCCTCGTTCCTTCTGATTTTTGGAACGCGTTCCCGTTACAAGTTACATCTATGAAAGAGGAACTCGTTCCCGTTACAGTTAAAAAAATGTAACGTATCGTTACATGTACGTTACATTTGTATTTTGCTAATTACTATCTTTAGTTAAATCAAGAAGAGTTTTTTTTTTTATCTATCCCATTAGTAGTCAACATACGAGTTTGCATGTCGTTATGGAGAGGAAACAGGAGAAGAAAACAAGCGGAATCAGGGTTTCATTTGTTGATATATTCAAGTTAAAAATCTCAGCTTTTAACCATATTCATATTTGTAGTAGACGATTGAGACGAGCCGAATGTACTTTTACCCAACATTGTACGAGCGTTTTATAACAACCTCACACGTTTCAATTGAACAAAGTCCCTTGTTCGAACTTAACAACAGTTGCTTCTCGATGTTGCTGTCCGCAAGACGAGCAAGTCGAGGAGAGGGTAGGGCTTTTGGAAGGTCAGTCTTAAAAACTACAAATACTTCTTTGTACGTTGGCTTTGTTGTTCATTTTGAAGGGGGGGGGGGGGGGGGGGACAAGAGAAGAAATGAAGTTTTCTCTTTGTGTGTATCTTTTAAGTGACCAATGTTCAGGATACAAGGGTGCGCTCGATGTTTGGCAGAATGTGATCTTGTTGTAACTGTAGGCCTCGTTATGGAAGTTCACAAGTGGCTGCAGTCGGCCTTAGATTTGTGGGTGTATGAGGATTCGTGGAACCAAAGAAAGTAGCTGAGTTTGAAACAACCCTCTTTCTTTGTCTTTCCCTACGACAAAAAGCCTCGCTTTTTGTACCGCAGTTTCGGACACTCAAAAAGGAACCAACGTCCACCAGCTCTCCTGCACCGGAAACTGTTAACAAGCGAGGACCACACAAAATAATCCATAAGATTAGTAGTCAAAAAGGTAACGAGATCCTGCACTTCGTAAAGATACTGTTTTTGTACTTTCAAAATTTTCCTGTTCGAAACAAAATAAAAATTACCCCACTGAACGGAAAAAAAGGAACGCCGTTACTCTTTCCGTTCCAGTAAAAATGTAACGCGTTCCCGTTCCAGTTCCAGCGATGCGAAATGGAACGGCCACGTTCCTTCGTTCCTCCTAAAAGGAACGCGTTCCAGGAACGCCGTTCCTTGGAACGCCGTTCCGTACAACACTGCCCGTGAGCGATATGAAGGTGAACAGCCCTCTTCTTGCTTTTGACGCTCCTGCAAGTTTTGGAACAGGCTCTGTTCCAGACGAGGGCTGGAACGCAAAGTTTAGACCCCAAGCCACGCACCATTTGAGACGTTGAGAGGTAATATAGCTTTAGGATCCGTAAAGCAGGCAAGAAACCAGGTAGGGTATTCACCTTCATATTGCCGGCGGGTGCACCGCCAAGCTGGTGCAGGCTGGGACACGCTTGAGTCAAAAATGGCGGAGCGTCACCGCCAGGGTCTCACCGCCAATCTTGTTTGTCGCGGCGGCGCGGCGACGGCATATACAGTGGACAAATAGGAGCGTGCTTGCAAACGGCGGCGCGTCACCGGCAGCCACAGCAGACCAATAGGAGCGTACACGTCTGAATGTGGGATACGCCATGAGCCGAAAATGGCGACGCTTTGCCGGCATAATATAGGAGTGCCCGCGGCACGATCAAACGATGGCGCTATACTTAGATTAGACAGGATATCCAGCGATTTTTGGGTGGCGGGCAGAGCCCGCCACCCACGACAGAGCTGAGCTAATAGCGTTGCTGACGGTCCTCCTAACAGGCACGCCTTTTCGAAGTATCGCCACCTTCTTGCCCATCTCTTTTTCCTGCAATTATACGAAGGATTGAGAGACTGAGGCGATGAAGCGTCGTGTAAGGATGTTCGTCACATGTC